GGGTCAGTGTTTATTTATATATTGTCGAAAACGACTCATATAAAAATAATTAAAGGTATGTGATTTTAACATTTTATCCTGACTGTACAGGAGGCCTAAGAATGTTTATAAATTTGTCTGTTAATTTTTGTACCCACATATATAATTTTTGTTTCCCTGCCGCTTTTTCATATATTTAGAAGAGCTTCTAGACTACGGGCAAATATAGGCGTTTTGATTTTGCAACCAAACAGCTGTGTAGCTATATTGAGGACCATTGACGATATGGCTGTAATTTAATTAATTTCCGAATTACAACACACGAAGTTGTAAGAATGGATACATGGCCGACCCACAATGTTCGTAATTGCGGATCTAGCGTCAAAATGTAATATATTGAAAGGTTTTTTTTCATTATATCGATTGTAGACACATTATGTTTTTCCTGTATTTGCACGGTTATTCCCATTTTGAGTATCCATTCCGCAGTTTGTAAGAAATAACGCCCCTGTGTTTACTTCGTTAATTAATCTCCTATTTTGTTTAGTGTACATTGCATATTTTCGGAACATATATGCTATGTTGATTCAGAAAACGATTCAATGTTTAATTTCATTGTAGTGGCAACTCACATTTGAAACTATTGCAATGAATCGTTTTGAGAAATCGCGACATCACTTCCCCTGACTCGCGTCATTCGATTAAACCGCCTGATTAATCTACCCGGGTTTCGTTATTATTATCGATATATATATATGTGTGTGTGTGAAAACAATTTGTCGCATTTACTTAAAAGTCACTTTGTCATCCAATGAACAACAACAAGAACAATGCAATGATTATTAATAGCCCTCCTCACAATGGCACTGTACTGATTCACACATTGGAAATTCAGATCCACAACTAAGAGTTAACTTATGATGTTGCTCACTTTGCGGCCTAGCTTGTGTTGCAGTTCCTGTCCCCGATGCTGTCACAGCTATTACGACAAATTCGAGTTTCCATTTTTCCTGGGGGAAAGAAACCGAGACAAAAGCTAATATGTGAGTGAAAAATGCTCGCAATACCCTAAATACCAGCGGAGTAAGGGTTGGTTTCCATCAAATCGCTGTGGACTAGAGTGCGTGTATGTGAATGGGAATGCCAATTTTCGCCTGTCAACCGACCGTAGGCAGAAAATCAGTTGAAGAGGCGTGACGCGTGATACACCTGGAAAGACTGTTTATATGTTTGTAGATGTTTAATAAATGGACTACGACTAGACTGCTGTGGGTTTCCTCGTTCACTCTCGCCATAAGTGCATGTGTTTGACACGTAAGGAAGGTCCTGGATAATCGCTGTTCAAATGACGGCCAAATCGTAGATTTAATGTCGTTTGATTGTCACAAATTGTACCATTAAATTGTTCCAATTTGACACAGCAACGGTAATGTTCGTATTAGCTTGTTTTCCATGAAGTGGAAGGGGTCGTTGAGAATGTAAAATATCCAACTAATTCGACACATGGTACTTGAAAAGAAAATCCTAAATAGTCTTAATTACAGCACATATCTTTGAAGATCGTAGAATACAAGGCAAAACATGTGAATCTAGAAGTTTGTACTCGTATGTTGTTCGCTATTCCGAATGAATTTGCTTTTTTCAATTATATTGTATTAACGCAAATCTTCTTTGAAATGCTGTCTAGTCTTCAGTGCAACAAACATGCATTCAATTATTTTGAATTAAATTTGTTAATGAAGTAAAACTTTTGTTTGCCAAATGACATTTTCAAATTGTTATTTTCGGACGTTTCCGTCAGTGTCAGCGAAAACAAGTACATAATTGTATTTATTTATTCCGGAGTATTTAGCTGTTTTGTTTAACGTTATATATTATTTGCATATGTATATATGGGAATATACAAACTTCTTTTAAAATTCCATACAAAATTTGAAAATTTTTTTGCGAGCTCATTTTTTCTATGGTTAAGGGAATACGGGTTTGCCTTAATCTTCTAAAATATGCGACACAATCTTTTTCAAATTCTTTTAGATGATTGTTAAATATCGGTAGATTCATCTGATAAGAGTTTCAACTTTAAATACATTGCACTTACAATGCACAGACATTAGCAATAAAAAATCATGGCATTCGCGTATTCGTTGAAATCAGTTTTTGCGCATGCGGTTTTCGTATAAACCGAATCAATCTCTTCCAATAATAATGAATGTTTCGATGTTTAATTTAGGGGACAAAGTGTGCCCCTCGATGCGCTTTACTATGCGAAAAACCTAAAATGGTTAAAAATGACGCAATGTGCATAAGATTTCAGTAATCCCCTATGAAAATACACAAAAGTACACCTATTTGAAAACAATTGATTGAGGGGATGTGCCGCCACAATCAACTTTGGATAAAACTATTTTCAAACAGAATCAGGAATATAATAATATGTACAAACATGACTGTATGGAAAAACAATTCGAAGTAAGACGCGATTATATACTCGAATTTGTCAAAATAAATAAGAATTGAACATGGCTGGACTAATTAGATTCGGCACGTAAAAAAACTAAAATCACGGGGGGTTCAAGCCATTTGTAATCCAATTGCAACGAAGCTACGGTGAGCACATTCATGATATATACACTAAACGAAGCAAAATCACGAGTTCTACAATCCTATTATAAGTTTATTCCATTATCCGGTTGCGCTTCCGGAATATAAGAAAAATTTCAAAAAACACCAATAACCCGGTTTCAAAATGTCAGTATCCTTTTAGGGTGGATGCAATGATTATATCGAAAAATCATATATTAGAACCACATTGTCCATGGGGTATTCTTCAACTCAGTCACTGGTCACATGTGTGTGCGTTGTGTAGTTTAGCCACAAATCATGAAAGAACCGAAAAAAAAAAACTTGTTGGCTTCAGCACATTTTCAACCATTTTTTTTACATTACCGCCATCACAGCTTCCACACAACTTATTATTTATTAACAGTATTTGAAGATTTTAATAATTTAATTTAAATTATATGTAATATGTTTATATTTCGAAAGTTATAAGCTTGCAAACCTCAATTTCAAGGAATTTAAACATTTTTGTAATTTCCCATATGTTTGCAATGAATAATTTTATTAAAATAGCCATTGAAATCAATTAAAAACCCCGATAATCGGGAAAATAGGTAATCCGTATTGCTGTCCACATCCATATGTTTCGATGTGGACAATAAAATCACGATAGCCAAAGTCATTCACAGTAACTATTAAAAAAAGAAAAAAACGATGACTGCATCCGCACCAAACAGTGACTCTTTATGGGGACATTTTCGACTTTTAAGACAATCGAAATGTCGATATATGCCAAATATCGTTTCAATTCCACTTTTCTGAAAAACGGATTTCGGTTATACTTTTACATACAAACGTACGAACAAAATTTAATATAAAAGCTGTATCTAAATCTTAACCGATTTGAACATAACCATATGCCAAAATTCGGTTAAATCGAACAAAAGTTGTTTTTTCAGTGTTGTCGAAAAATATGAAATCGTCGTACAATTAGCCTTCCTTCATGCTTGATTGTCGGAGTCAAGTTTAACAATAATCTATTTGGTTATTTTTTCCAATCATCATCAGCTTTCCATCCAATTTATGTTTCAATTTACGTTCTTACGCCAATGTTGAGTTCTCTGAATAAATGATTATTTCGATGATTAGTGTAATGGCCCTCATACTATTATTAAGTAGTGATAGGCAAATATTCATACATCGTTTTGTACAAATTTCGTTCAAATCATATCACAGTTGAAACTTTAAAGATGTTTAAAGAACAAAATCTACATTCTTTTTTTAAATATATTTATATCGATATGTTTGCAAATGAAGACTATTCACTGAATTTTTATACTGCCTCAATATTTAAATTTCACCCAGATATTAATAAATAATTGTTTTGAATAGATGTACAGAACAAGTTTTAGCAAGTATAGATGAAATTTACCGTGTCGCCAAATGAGTTAAAAATGCTGCACAGCATGTTCTTGGGCTATAGTGTATGGAGTGTATGAATATACGGGTTTTTCTCTTTAACAACTGGAGGCAGGTCCTCCTCCAGCTAGTCCACTTTCTATTACAATAGAAGATATAGGATCATACACCATATGTGACGATTTCCTTGTATTTTCCGTTTAGTTCGATAGATAAAACACGTGGCAAGTTAAGCGAAAGCTTAACACAGCGCCATTTGGTAATTTTTTTAGCCCCGTAGGCGTGATTTAACTCTTTGAATGCGTCTTTCTTGTTAGCCGTCCGAAGACGAACTGATACGGTTTTTTTTATGTTTGGAACTATATTTATAATAAATATTGGGGAACATAGTAATACAGCTATGAAAAATATTTAAGAAGTATTCCTCCACAGCTGTGCCTGCATTCCGTCAAATATTTTTATCTTATTTGGTTAATATTCGCACCGCATATTAGCATCGAACACGCTTTATATCATACTCATATGGCAATAGTATTAATATATATATCGCTCATTTGCCGCAAGACCGGCATAAATCAATAATCGCGATTTTTGAGTTAATGATGCTGAATTGTTCGCCATATCAGAATTCATATTGTGTACAAAAATCAGATGAATATCTGTTTCACACTCTGATTGAGAAGCTTATTGAAAACTTCTAAAGTCTAAAAATCTTTAAAAATAAGTTGATATTTTGTGTAGTGCATGCGTCACAAAAATCGACTAAAAGGTGTTTTATGAAAAGGTTTCGACCGCCAAATACTATTTAGGTTTCCTTCCGCCCATCAATATATTCAGACTTCAATGGCAAATAAGCCCATAACCTTACTTTTATATCCAAGTGATCGGTTTTTTTATTCTTTGTTTTTGATTGTTTTTTATTTATTATTTATTTACAAAAAATGAGGTCTATACTAGAGAAACACAGGGAGAACAAAAAAGGAAATATAATAGAGGAACATGCTTAGAAATCTACCGTGTACAACAAAACCGAGCAAAGATGGCTAATAAATACTACGTGCCAATGACAGGGTGCCCGTTAACGCTGTTAAATTGACGGCTCCGGTAGCGGCAGGTGTGTTTATCGCATTTGGCGGCAACAAAGGCGTACTGGGATTTGTGACATTGGAATTGAATTTCTCAAATCCGCTGTTGTCGGAGGTGATCTTTTTCCTTAAATCGGGTTTGGGACCACTTAGGCACATCTTTTCCATTTGTTGGTGTTGGGAACGGACTGCAAAACGATTTACGTGTACTGGTATGGGCACAACAATTTTCGTTCCAGAGGCACCGTTGCGTCCCAAACCGTGCGATGATAATCCAGCCTTGACGCGTTTCCATTTGGCCCTGCGATTTTGAAACCATATTTTAACCTGACAAACAAAACGAAAAATAAGTCGCTGACATTTTCACATAGCAAATCGCAATGGTGGACACTTACCTGAACTTCACTCAGTTTGAGACTGGTTGCTATTTGGCTTCTCTCCGTCAGACTTAAATACTTTTTGGCGTGGAACTCCCTTTCTAATTCCAAAAGCTGTTCCGATGTGAATGCCGTCCGTCGCCGCCTCGATTTGGAACTCTGGCCACCACTGTTATTGGAATCTTTCTGGCCATTTGAATTGACATCGTCATCAGAACAGTCTTCACTGTCTGTGTGGTTGTAAGCTGAAATTGAAAAAAGGAAGCATTTGTTGACCGAATGAGCTACTACTAATTATTGGCATTTAATTTATCATTTTTAATTAAGGTATATTCATATATCAACCGTGTGTCTTCGATGCCTGCCTATACGTACGCATATTAGCCAACATGTATGAAAGGAACATAGCTGAATACGAAGTTCACGCCTTCATAATTCAGAAATTGTTACGGAATGCCATCAATCAGCCAATATCAAATTTATTGGAATACTAAATTTACATTGATGGGATCTAAAATCCGACGTGCCGTACATAAAATATTGAACTTCCCCAATATGGGAACACACAGAAATGAAGGTGCAAAGCAACGAACAAATATCAGAAAGGGTTTTACATTTTAAAATCAAGAAACCGTAATAATATCTCTTCTTCCGTCTACTTCTATTGCTGACACATAGAGTCGGATAATTCAATCTTATGACCACGAATAAAAGTTCACCACTGTTCCGACTAAAATGCACAGTTATCGTGGCGACGTCTCTAGATATGTCATATTTAATTATGAACATTTCCAGAGGAGAACAAAAGCAATAAGCCATGGCTAAATTAGCATAAAGTAGCATTAAGAACCCAATGTCTGATGTCAATCAAAAAAGATTGAAAACACTGAAAATCAAGTCAAGTACAGGGTAAACGCTTTTAACACAAACCACTGACATGTTGACACACGTTTCACTCTGCCATCAGCAGCAGCAGCACCCCATCACCACCCCACTTTATCCCGTCGACAAACAACCACTTGCCAGGGAAAAACTCTTTCCGCAGCAAAAGTCAACAGCTCAATCTTGGACTGAAGCGCATAGTTCTTTTATTTGAACAGCTTCAGTCAAGCAGAACACAAGGCACGGACGACGGGCGATCTCTTCAATTGTCTGTGGACTGGATACATTAAAACATTTCTTTTCATATTTCAAAACAAGAAAATACAAGGCATAAAAAATTGTGGGTGAATTATAATTGCACAATGGGACCACACTACGTACGTTTTTATCACAAATTTGTATTTCATAATTTCTAAATACTTTAATTGAAATGTAAGGGCTATAATGTTGCAAATAACCCTGAAGTAACGCTACCCCTGTTCAAATAATATTGTTAGCTATCTTTGTAAAACTAAATGATTTCTTTCATCTCGTCTATTAAGTCGAAAATAATTTTATGATATGCAAAGTTGGGTCAATTCGCATTTTCAATTTTATGTTTTTAATTTTTATTAATATTGGCCGTTTGAGTTATGTTTGGTAAAAATACAAGGTTGGAATCAAATCGGATGACCCGTTCCCCAGATTTGATTATAAATTGATTATCCAGCAAATTGTTGACCATTTTGTGGGTGATGATGATGTACAAAAAAAGAAAAAAACAGAACAAAATAATAATTATAATAATAATAGTTTTAACCCACAGTGCGACAAACATAAATTACAGTTTTGTGTTCGAAGAAAAAAAGTAACATTTTCATTTTTGGCCATTTTCAACACAATTCAATGCTAAGCGTCGGGGTATCTTTTCACTGTAGTCTGCGGCAAACACCGAAGCAAATTGATTGAATTTGTTTGTGTATGGAAAATTAAATATTCATAACTGAATTAGAAATGACTGCGTGAAGTATTTATGGCATGGACATGTGTATGTTGGAGTGGGACCCCACCCCCTGAAGGATTCAACGAATATACATCAGTAAACAAACAATTTTCTTGGGATATCACAACAATGACAACACCGAAGAGTCGTCTCTGTGTCGTGCTTTCTGCCATTTGCAGTCCAGTGCTAACAGAAGCCTTCCTCCGGGAACGGGGGTGGATGTAACTTTCGCTGCCAACATCCTTATACAAACCAAGCCATATGGATGCTGTGAGCTGTGTTGAACTTTATTGACGGTGATTAGTGGTTGGATTATGACACAGCCGACAAGTCCACAGAAAACGACACAAACGACGAATATAAATCTCTGTCAGGACTAAGTCAACCGTGTAAGTGCGAACAGAGCAAATGATGTGCGGATACATTTAAACCCAAACTACTTAGGCGAGTTTACTGTTGTAGTTGTTGTTTGACGTTATCCACATCAATGCCCCATACTCATTATTCAGATTTAATAGAACGTTTGAGAATGTTCTGACTCAGGCAATAGGGCATTTGGTGATTGAAACGAATTTCTTTCAATTTTAGACGAACTTATTGCAATGACTTCTTACTATCAGGTGGTGCGATTCAATTAAAAACAGAACTATAAAGTCCTTATCATTAATTTTTAATACACTTTTTGTGTTTTAAAAAATAATGTACTTAATGTAATTAATGTACCAGTTTAGTAATTTATTTATTTTTGATTATGAAAGGATTGAAATGTGTGTGTGTGTTTTTATACCCTACACAACTATGTTGTCAGGGTATTATAGCTTTGTGCAGCCCCAAAAGTTTGTAACGCCGCGAAATATTGGTCCTACACCCACCTTTAAGTATACCGATCGTCATATCTCGACTAGCTGAGTCGATCTAGGCATGTGTGTCCGTCCGTCCGTCCGTCTGTCCATTATAATTTGTAAACACGATACAGGCCACAGTTATTGACCAATCTTCACGAAATTTTGCATGTAGGATAGGTTCCGGCCAATGAAGACCCCTACTGTTTGTGGGAAAGATCAGTTAATATTTAGAGGGTGAAATCGACCAAATACTAAATTTTTGTCGGTTTTTCTGGTCGCTCCAGAGGCCGCAATAATGGCCCGAACATCGTGAAATTTTCCATGGAGAAGGGGATCGGGCCAAAGAATAAGCATGCCTGTTTTTATAGAGATCGGTCAATATTTAGCGGGTCAAATGGACCCTGACTTTTGTGTGGAAAATTACAAAATTTGTATTCTATAGCGTATATATTTACCCCTGAAGGACATAGACCCGAGAAGTTTATATTATATCCAAGAGGAGTGGTTGACCTTTAAATTAATACCAATTATATTGTTGTATGTGCTCGGATGTGGGAGTTACACCTAAATATTTACAGTATTTTCGTATTCCCATTATCACTCTAGAGAGCGGAACTATAGCGCTGATCGCTTTGAAATGTTGCATGAGGTTCCATTTATGGTCAAGGACAACGCGTATAATTTTCGGTAATGATCAGATAATAATTTTGGAATGAAGTGGACCGAAAACTTAATTTTTATTTGTGTTATTTTCGAGTCGATCTGTAGACCAAAAATGAAAGCCGAACATCACAGCACAACGCACGGTGAAGGGAATCTGGACAATAGCTGTACTGAATACTCGTAATATTCGGAAAATATGTCAGTGTGAGGAAGATGTGCTATTTACCTCTAATCAGGCAAAAGGGTGCAAATATCACGAAATATTGCCCAGGCTCGGAATAAATATCCACAGAAAATTTAAGTTCCGTGGTAGTTGTGTAGGGTATCGTATGGTCGGCCCCGTCCGACTATACTGCTCCGCTCACTGTTTTTTTTGTTGTATGGGAAACCCATAGAGCAATCGAATCGAATAAATAAGAATACTCATTTTGTGTGAAATAAACCAGGACCTATCATAATTTGTAGACTTAAGTCAAAAATGTCATCATTTTCCGATTTTCCTTGTAGTTGTATAAATATCTAAGTAAAAATCCCACATGGTATCTGCATAATCGGTGTTTTTTTTAGTCTACATATGTTGCAGACAAATGTTAAATAAAATGTTTTTATTTATTAAATTTATACATCTTGCTGCCGATTTTAGGAAATTGTTATTCGATTCTCGACAAGTGTTAATGTACTCATGTAAACGATTAAAAGCGTTTGTTGTGTAACACGACGCTAAATTCATTTATCGGAGTTTATAGATCTTATTTTAAAATTGAAGTTGTACATTCAACCTCTACTTTACATAGCTTGATGAAATTTTACACACCCTCTAACTTATTTATTTGAAAATTCCAATAAAACTCCTTATGATTTTTTGTTTATTTTTTTTTAAAGGTGATCAATAATCAACGAATTATTGCGTATTCTGTAAAACTTATTATGTATTTTAATCCATTAAAAATGAACAAAATAAGAAAAAATATTTTTGAAATTTTTGTGAAAATGTGTTAGAAATTATTAATGATTATCATTTACATTCCCAAAGCCAAAACAATTATGTATTTCGGCGTTGTGCCAAAATGCAATGAAGTTTGCCGATGTTGTATGCAAGATATGGAATACAGACATATCGAAAATAAAGATATTAATGTGTGGATCATCAATGGATATAATCATTTAAAAAGGTATTGCATTTTATTTATGAACTTTTCTTTGATTGCAATGACGCTTTTTTGCAAAATATTCGGGCCCTGAAACAAACAGGCTATTTACTGAAAGTAGCAAAGAAATACGATTGACAAAAAATTGACAATTAATTAATTTACTCTCCAACGTAATAGTCGATGGATACTCCTCTGAAACAAAAGTAAATAATTGCCAGAGTATATTACCAGCATATTAACCAACAGTGATTTAGTCAATTTAATTTTACTAATATATTGTCACTTTTATATATTTCGTATTGAATATCAAAAATATCACTTTTTAGGTTTTTCCCTTATAATGGAAAAGTTTTTTGTTGTTACATTAAACATAAATTTAGAATTAAAAATATATGCTTTCCATTTGCCTTAACTTTATAGAAATATGGATCTTTTAATTTTATAAAATATGTGTGCTCATTATATCAACAACGCATTATATTTAATACAATTATTAGCTACTCATAAACCTGCTTGCTTTTATAGAATATTGTGTTGTGTCACGTTTTAAACATTTCCTGCTTAACACCTTTCAACATCAAAGTTGTTGTTGTTTTTTAATTTTTTATTGCAAAAAACAAAAAAAAAAAGATAGTCTATAGTTCAAAGAAATCTGACATTATTGTTGAAGATTATTCATGGTATTCTGATATTGGTTCCTGCCGACTTTAGGTGCACTTAACCTATATTGGAAACTCACTTTCGAAAAAAATTAGTTGAAATATAACAAAGGCAAACAAAACTAGTACTGACGATGGATTTCAAACTCATAAATGGAATTCCCGTTAGCAGTAGGGATACGTCCTCACATTAATTCTTTTTTATTCCTGATTTATATTCGACAATTCTACTTGAGTGTTTAGCTTTCTCTTCGCGATTCTTTTCTGTGAATATTAAATAGTTCACTGACAAATTATATCCCGAATAATATTACAATAAAATCTATTACGATGTTCAATGTTTGTATTAAATCGCTTACTTTTTGAGATTCGTAATTTTTCAAATTCCTATCCTACATTCTTATTATCGCCAATGTAAAAAGTGTGTGATATATACCTTTGCTCTTGTCCAGGTCATTTGTATAGTTTTGAGGCGACATGGTAAGACTGATGTCGCTGCACGAATCGCCACTGCAGTCATAATCATCATCAACAACATCTACGGACCCATCTTCAGATTGTTGTTGGCTATTAGCGCATGCACTATCTCGGCGGTCATTATAGGACGACGACATCGTCCTATTAGAGAAATTGCTTAAGACAGCGGTATCGTTGAAAACTTTGTTGACAAATCTCGAATTAATCGACAGATTTTGAATGCTGTCCGTCGTTAGGCCATTTGCCATTATATCCGCGAGTCTTTGGCGCGATGCCAAATCGGTGGCGAGATTTGCAGATTGCTGTAGTATACCTTCGTTTATAGCCACGGTGGGTGGTATCGCGCCTAAACCGAAAGCAGCTGCCGGTATTAGAAATCGTGCCTGTGGCAGTTGTGTTTCATAGTCCGACGAGGGTTTTACATTTGGTGTTGGTGAATTAGAGGATGTTGAGCCGGAGCCATTGGCGGCTAATAGCTGAGAGATTCTATCATGGTTTTGGGCAAAGTATCCATGCAACCAGGGGTTGTATAGTGGGAAATTGGTTAGTCCCAATGCGGATGATGCTACCATTGCTCTGGCACTAAGTTCATCCGATAATTCGGTGCTGTTGGTTAAGCTGGCATCGACGATCGGTTTGTTGCTGTTGTCTTGAGCGGCTTGATGTTGCGTTGCTATGAGGCTTTCAATCGAGAATGGAGTGGGGAATTTGCTAAGTTTTGTGGGTACATCCGATTCCATTTTATTGCAGTTATTCATTCAATATAATTTGTTCTGATTTTTGTTGTTCAGCCAATTGTTAGCTTATTATAAAAATTAACTCTTCATTTACTCATCACCACACACGCACACACACACTTACATAAATAAGCACCGGTTTACAGGCAGATTATTGATATTTCATCCCGGACTATTGATATGGAACTTTTTGTTGTTAACACATTTCCGGATTTTCAATTAAAGATGGATGTCGGTTTATTTGTTTAGTTCGATTTTCCACAAAGTAACTATCGACACACTCCCAAACACACACGAACTAGTGAACCGTTTAAAGGTCTTCGGCGTACTAAACGTATCCGTTGTTTGCACTGGCGTTGCTCACAACACCCGTCACGTTGCAAGTAGAAAATATATCTGTCGTGCTCACACCAATTGTCGAATGCCCCAATGGCAGAAGGTCTATTGGCTACTGGCTGCGACACAACAACCACCACCCGCCAACAGCCTAAAGCGCTGCACTGCTATCACACAAATCACTGACTCCGCCTCTCAATTACGAATCCAACATGGCGCATGCCAATGAATGAACGAGAATTCACTCTGTCGCCGTTCAATGGCAGTGCCCACGTTGGAAAAAGAGGGAGAGAGCGAGAGAGGCCACCTAAAACAATTGGTTGTTTGTTCTGTTTAGTTGCTGACTAATTATGTTTCTGTTACGCTATTGTATTCTCGTTGTTGTTGTTGTTATTGTTATTGTTGTATTTGCTATCATGAATCATTATTTGGCGTGTCATTTTCTGGTTGTTAGCTAGAACATCGAAGAGAGCTTGTAGCTTGTTTACTTAATTGATGTTCTGCATGATTCACCTCGTAATGGCACATCATTGAACACCGCACCCCTGTCATACAATCGGGTATCGTCCAATCGTCCGCTGCACCTAGTTGTGCTTCCTCTTCCACAATTGGTACCAAATTGCTGTATACAGCGGCAACTGGCACGCCCACTCATTATTAACGACTAAGACGAGCTGCATTAAGTGACCAATTTGTAAAGGAACCACAGCGACAACATCGGTTGTCACTGTGGTGGCACTTGTTTAGTCCATCGCATAGCCCCATTAGCAAACATTTGTTAATATTGATCTATACGCGTACATACACACAATGTCTTAATTGGCACAAAATGAAATAAATATGTATGCATGTGCATGTTTCTACATGCATATGCATGTGAGTTTTTCGTTCTGCTGAGAAATACGTTTTTTGGACCTTTCATCATCCGAAAAAGCGATTTACATGAGTAATGAGTCAGTCATAAGTCCGGATTTGCATTAGGCAATTGTAATGGAATCAAATCTGTACTCTGTTGGTGGGCGTTTTGAGGGGAATGACAACCCTTCACCTCTCTCGCCCTCAATCTGACAATTGCCTAATGTAATGTTGGTATAGCGAAAACATGCCTCTCATGAGGAGCAATTGTGTGAAAGTTGTTGGACCCCCATCATATTGATTTTGTGACTCCGTTAGTAACTCCATCTATTGTAATCTCGATATCGTCTAAAGAAATTGGTGGATAGACTGAAATGAAAGGGGCTTCTGTTAGTTCGAAGATGAACGACAACTTCCGAATTTATTGTAAATCGGAAGTCGTCGTTCACAGAATTTCGGAATTTTCATGATATAAATGATCACATTGACACGTTTAGGTAGGGTCCGTAATATTCCCAATTATACTGTTTATAAAACCAAATAAATTCTATTTCGGTATTATACAATGGCCAAGCCTACACTATTTGTGTGTAGATGATCTAGTTTGTAGTGTTTTTAATTGTCTTTTATTCTGCAGATTTATTATTACATACTACCGACAAATTTACATGCGCTTGTTGTTTCAGGCAGTTTTACACCAATACAGTAAAATCTCGCTAATTCGAAAATTTATTGCAGACGCCATCCGGATTGCCAAATTAAATGAGTTAACATTTTTCTTATACAACTACTACTTATAAAATTACTTATATTGCAAAAATACAACTAATATTGCAAAAGAGTTGTAAAATGCAGGCCAGAATTATCTAGATTTTACTGTACTTGCTGTTAGCATTTTTGATTATGCCATGGGGTCAGAAGAAATGTTCCCACCGGTCTTTTTAGTTGACATATACCTATTTTATGAATTTAAATAGTTTTAGTTTGGTACGGGAACACTATTCTATTGTAAAAAGTGTGGTCAAAATATCATTATTTAGTACATATTAGAAACATAATTCAAAATAGTGGCCATTAGCAATGATGGTATCAACATTCTAATTGTAGTTGCCGATTAGCCTAAATGGATTTGCATTTGTACATACGTTCGGTTATATGTGTGTATGCAGGAGTGTAATTTTGCCTACAGTCTTCTCTGCCTTTTAACTTTTTTTATTCATGTGACGTGGCTGACACTACAACTAAACAATTTCGTCTAAACTAAAATAAAAAAAAAACGCAGAAAACACTTCGTACATCTCATCACGAAAATGAACTATCCAGTCTGGCAGTCCTGCTTCTTTCAGATATTCAAAATTATTTCAAATATTCGAGACAATTTGTCAGTAAATAGCATGATGATGCTTTTTCTATCGCACAGTGGATCCCGAGTATATATGTAGGTCCATTGAATGTCTCTTCTCGTGCCAATTGAAATCAACATATGAAATAATAACATCCGTGTCTTTCATTATTAAAATTATGGTATACCATTAACACAGAGCCAGGGTGATTTCACGCATCGACACATTGCATATCGTCGCATTTGTTTCGGAAAATTGCCAGACATACGAATAACGCTGAGAGTTCGGAGTGCAGCCGTATTGGGACGTTTGCATTCATAGACGAATCAAGAAGAACCTGACAGAAGAAAGCCCAGCACGATAAACACTTGCAAATGGCATTACCGACAAACGAACTACATCTCCCAGCAAAGATGTATGGCTAGGGGCGAGACCCCTCTTGTCAACAGCGTTCTGATTTATTTGAGTATATGAAATGCTTCGTTGCCTCTGGTTAATTTGAACACATCCACATATCGGAATATACAGGCCGTAGGCCATATGTATCATCTTCATGCACGCATACATACACATGTGTGCCAGTCAGCCAGCCCCATCGAATTGACGGATCATAAAACTCTTGTTTCCTGCGTGTGATTTGGCATCCAATCTCTTCCTCTTTCTCCACACAAAACGATGCATGTTTTTGCAGATCTGTAAGGGTGATGATGCCAACACATAAACGAAATAAATATAGTCAAATATAGATTCGTGCGACTACTCCTTTGCTGATACATTCAATGTTATTGAAACCCTTTCCGTTCTACCCTACCGCCAAGATGTTTGCGCACTGAGGAAACAAAATACCACAACAACGAACACTTGGACTGGAAAATTCGGCTAGAACTATCAAATAACCTGAAAGAGCGATATCCATCATGAACTGATATGTCCCATTTTCAATACCGAACTGCATTAGCAACATACTTGCACAATTTTAGAGCTCAACCTTAAATATTGTGATTCCTATTGCGTCGAGAGTAGACAGGCTTCATTGAGACTTTACTTTCATGAATAATATAATGCATATATAGGGTCTAACATCGATATTTTGAGGTGTTGAAGACGGATTGTCAAATCTAATATACACTTAACTTTATTATGAATGTGGAGTGTGAGATTCAAACGTATTGAATCTCTTGTTTTGAACAGACCAATTGCTGGTTTCTATATTGATGATTATGTAATTTTTAGTTCAGGTCTTTTGAAGCTAAATCTTTTATGCTCAATATATTCTATCTATCCGTCTGTCTGGTCGGTCGGCTGGTGCGCACGATAACTCTTGAAGGGAGTAACCGATTTCATTCAAACATTGGACATTGTAATATTTATTTCAAACTTAGATCCAATTTTAAGATGGGGAATATCAGTCCACTTCTTCTGGTACCTCCCACACAAAATGGTCAACAGTTTGCCTCATCGAAATATTGATTTTATACCCCAGGTTTCTTTGCGCCAAATCCGTTTTAGACAATTTCGAGTCGATTTATATATGTCCGTAAGTTTGCCAGTGTGTCCCTCTGACTGGCTGGTGCTTACGATAACGCTCGAAGGAGTAACTTTGAACACCGTAATATTTATTTCAAACATAGATCAAGTTCGAAGATGTGGAATATCGATCCACTCCACTTGTGGCATCTCTCACAAAAAATTGTAAAAATGTAGCTGAACATTAATTTTGTAATTTCGTGCGAACGGACCATCCGATTTGAACAAAATTTGCACAACTTAATAATTTAACCATGTCTGTATAATGTTGTAAGATGGGACTTATCGGTCTTCTCCATCTAGTACCTCCTCCACAAAGGGTTAACATTTTGAACATTTTTAAATCTCATATGAGGCGAACAGAGAGAGGCTTTGCACTTCGTAATATGTTTACCTTATATAGATCAAGTTCGAAGGTGGGACCCGTCGATCCTATCCTTTGGGGGAATAGCGCAACCTCTTCTGGTACCTCTACACAGATGGTCAACTCTTTGATAAAAAATATATACCTTTTATAATTCTGTAGACCTCCGCAAACCATAGGCTGAGGGTATATATGTATTTGTTAGCAATACCGACTGATATTTCCATTCCATTGTTATTGAATTGAAAATTTGAAATTTCTTAGTGGGGCGACACGAAGTTTGCCGGGTCCACTGGTTTGTTATAATAAATAAAGCAAAACAGGAAAAAGAGAAGTGAAGTTTTTCTATTTGTTTGCACAGTACACATAACCCTATTGATGATGCATGCCAATTAGTCCACAATATTCCAACTGTTATTATTTGTTGACCTAATCAAATTATCGAAACGCAGTCTCAATGACTATTATGTCCTGAAGGTACACGACCATTGGACACGTTCGTATCCATTACATGCAGGTTCCTCCCTCTGTTGAGTTGGTTATTGAACAGTAAAATTATTGACGGTCATGTGAACGGT